CTGGTGTTCTGACATCATGTGTAACGTTCTCGGTGCAGAGTAGGTCCTGTGTGAACAGCAGCTTGGGAACCCCCACCCCACAGTCCCTCTGTCCTTCCTGTATCCGTGTGCACTGGAGTGAGCTGGCGAGAGCACTTCTGTGTGTGCCTTTCTCAGGAGACTCTGGATGAGGTGCTTGTGTGGATGGCATCAGGAGGGCCCGGGTTCAATCCCCGCTCACCCCTCTGTCTCTGTGTGTGACTAAGAGCAAGTGGTTATACCTCTGTGGGCACCATTTTCTCATCTCTGAAGTGAGGATGTTGTTTGGATGAAATGAGGAAATAGATGTAAAATGCTGAAAACAGGGCTCAGCACACAGAGTTTCTGCTCCACCTGGTCCTGAAGAACCATCGGCTAGGTCCCTCCCTCGTCCCAGAGCCTCCCTCTCCCCGTCTGTCACACAGGCCGTGCTCTGGCAGTCACCTGGGACCCTTTGGTCTTGCATGTCCGCTTGCCTGCCCTCCAGGGCTGGAGGAAGGCTCCGGGGACCACAGCCTAGGGGTGGCCCGTGGGTGCGGCAGTACCCCTGAAGTACAACTCAGCCTGCCTGGTCAGGCGAGGGTCAGTAGAGGTGGGGGGAGATGTCGGGCAACTTGGCCAAAGTGGGGGCCACAGCCAAACGGCACCCCTTACGAGGGGTCACCTAGTGCCTCTTCCCTGCGGCTGGTGGAATCACAGACTGGGTCTTAGCTTCCCCATTGGTAAAACTAATGGGTATAGAAAAGTTTAACCACCAGTCGGGGGAGCGATTGTCCTGGCCTGACCTCCTGGGTGATGTAAGGAGAGAGGGAGAAAGAAGCAACTGAACAGCAATGAAGGGTTTATCTCATCCTTAAATCGCCCTCTCCACACCCAGACTTCATTTCCGGTTGTCACTCAGGGCCCCTGTTGGGCTCAGCACACAGCTTGCCTGTGGTTATGGACTCAGCCCCAGGGCTGGAGAGGAAGGAAGGAGGCCGGGGTCCAGGCCTCTGCTCTGCACTGGAGGGTGCCCTCTCTGGGCCTTGGGTTTTCCATCTGTGCAGTGTGGGATCAGTGGTTCCTAATTGCAGTGGTCACTGCCTCTGGGTGGGCGAAGGTCAGGGACACCGAGGGTCCTTCAGTGTGGGAGACAGCAGAACACCAGAGAATGTCCCAGCAGTGGTGCCAGTGGTGCCCCATTGAGAGACACCAAGAAGGGCCTGCAGGCCTGGCCCCATGTAGGGAAGAGGTCATGAGTGTGCGTTGGACGGTCACAGGCTGCAGAGCCCTTCCAAGGTCTCTGTCCCTTAGTCCTCCGGATGGGGAAGTAGAAACTCAGACAGAGTGACGTGCCCAGAATCACGTGACCAGCAGGGCTGAGATTTGAACCTGGGTGCATCTGACCTTCAGGTAGTTCTGCCTCTCTGGTCTCTTTCTCAGTGTTGGTGTGCCACTCAGGGCAGGGAAGTAGTGGATGAATGCTTTCTGACTCATTAATGTGTGGTCTCCCCAACCCGAGGGGATGGGTGCTTTGATTATTCCCACTCTACAAGCGAGGATGCTGACTGAGGTCCAGAAAGGTTTAGACATGTGCCCCAGGTCACACAGCAAATGTCTCACAAAACCTGAGGATGCAGAGGCGGCAGAGCCTTTCCTGACCGTGGAGGGGCTGCCCACCAGCTAGCTCAGTGACCCTGCCAGTTCCCCTAGGGTCCCTAATCCTCCTCATGGGCCATCCACTGCATTGGAAATGTGGGGCAAATGTTGTGACCCAGAGCTGCTGGCCACTGGGCACCTAGCAGGCCTGGCTTCCAGCCACCGCACATGCCCAGCCATCAGCCCCCCTTTTCCTCTGCTTCCTCGAGGTTTGGCAGCCTTGCAGGAAAGGCATCATCTTTGGAGCCAGGCAGCAGCTCCTCCTGCTCTTAGGCCACATCCCAGGGCAGATCTTCCCCCTTCTCCCTTGGTTGAGCTCGATGTCTGAGGTCCTTACAGAGCTTTCTCTCTCCCACCCCCTTACTCTACCACCATCTGTGGCTCCCACTGCCTGCAGGAGGAAAGCCAAACTGATATTGTGCTTTGAAACTTCATCTGCATCCCCTGGGACCTTGTTTAAATTTGTTCAGATTTAGCAGGCCTGGGTGGGGCCTGGGCATTACTGGCTAGCTCTGGTGCTGCCCGGGCTGCTGGTCCTCGGACCTTACTTGCAGGAATGAGACCTCAGTAGACCCTTCATGACCTGGCTCCATCTCCACTGCCCACCTGGTCTCCTCACTAGTTACATGGGATTTCGTTCATGGACTCACATCTGCAATGGCTTTTCCCTTTTGTGACATGTTCCTTCCTGTCCTTCAATGTCAGGCTCAAAAGCACTCCTCAGTGGACCACCAGCAGAGCTAGCCGCTCCTCATCTGCCCTCCTAGACCCCTTTACCAGCCCCTGAAATTCTTTGAGGCCATGTCAGCCCATATCAGAACAGACCTCTTGCCCTGGCCAGGTGGCTCAGTTGGTTAAAGTGTCATCCCATACACCAAAAGGTTGCACGTTCGATTCCCTCTCAGGGCACATACCTAGGTTTCTCTCAGTCACTGCCTCTTTTCTTCTGTCCCTCTCTCTAAAAATCAATAAACATATATTTGAGTGAAGATTCAAAACAAAACAAGCCCTGGCCGGTTTGGCTCAGCGGTTAGAGCATCGGCCTGCGGTCCGGAGAGACCCGGGTTCGGTTCCCGCTAAGAGCACATACTTCGGTTGCAGTTTGTCCCCGGCCCTGGTTGGTTGTGCAGGTGGCAGCCACTCGATGTGTCCCTTTCACGTCAATGTTTCTCTCTCTCTCTCTTCCTCTCTCTCCCTCCCACTCTATCTGTACAAAAAATGGAAAAATGTCCTCGGGTACAGATAAAAAAAAAACAAAAACAAAAACAGACCTCTTAGATATGAACCTGGTTCCACCCTTACCGCTGGGTGACCTTGGGTAAATTACTTAACCTCTCTGGGTTTATTATTTATTTAAACCCTGCCTTGTTCCAAAATGAACTAACAGTTGCTTCCAAACATACATTTGCATAAAATCAAATGCAAATGTGCTTGGTGGGCTGCCGGGGACAGAGGGCAGAGGGAAGACACTGCTTCCCGCCCATACCCTGGCGTTTCAGTCCCGGGCCTGTCACAGCAGGCACTCAGAGACGCTCTCCCATACCCACAGCATGACCTTTCCTGGAGCTTTTCATCCACAAAAGTAAATTCCAAAGGAACCTGAGAGAGATAAGCACGGTGAGGTTTCCGACTGCTCATCTTAATAGCTCATTTAAATGCATCTGTATGGCAAGCAAATATTTTCTTATGAGAGGGGGCGGATGTAACTCTACAATCTTGTGTGCCATAAAACCCTCCTCCCTGAAGGGGCTGTGAATAGGGGGAAGAGGGCAAGGGTCTGTTTGAGCAATTTACTTGCTGAGAAGGCTTTGTTCCTTCCTGCCTTGTGTGGAGTTAGGGCTGCCCCAAAGTGGCCCTTGGTACCCTAGAGATGGTCAGGGTCTTCACCCAGAGCTTGTCCTGACCATCGCTTGGCACCGTGAACCATATCGAGAGCCTGCATCCCTTTCTCTGCCTGGCCCAATTACAGGTCCCCCCTCTCTGACCACCTTACTACACCTCCCATGGCTGAGATCTTGACATTTCTTTCTCTTTGACCTTTGGCCTCACTGATAGAGCAAGGGAACCTCACCTGGAACCTGGACCCTGCCCCCTGGGACCTGCCTGAAGTCACCCAAAGAGGGAAGTGACCCTAGGAAGAAGATAGCAGTGGAGGAACATGAACCTATGGGTACGAGGGTACAAAGTGGCCCCACCCCAGATTTAGAGTCTGGAGTGTTCTGAAGGTGCCATCAGTGTTGGGTTGGTAGGAGCCAGAGTGGGTGGCCCAGGGTTAGATTTTGGGCTGGGCATCCCTGCTCAGGAGAGAGCCCAGAAGAAACCTCTGGTCCCTACGCACTGGGAAGCTCTCTCCACTTGCTGCAAGACACGGAACCCGTGTGAGACCTGCTTGTTCCCATGCATCCAGGAACTCCATGGGAACCAGGAGCTCATCTGCCTCGTTCTTCCTGCATTCAGCTGGATGCACCATGTAGTCACAGGCTTGACACCCATGTCACCATCACCCACCCTTCTCAGCAGCACCTGTGTGGTGTCTGGCTCTCAGCTGGTGCCAGCACAGATGGGTGGGATGCAGGTAGAGATCTGGAGGAGGGAGTCCATCAGAGTCAGTCCTGAGCTGGCATGGAGGAATCTAGGAGTGTGCAGGGCTGCGTCCCAGCTGGGGCTGGAATTGTGACCAGCTGCTCCTGCCTGTCAAGGCCAGAGGCAGGCAGATCCTCAGCCCAGCTCGCTCAGTTCTGCCGGAAAGCTGGGAGGATGCTCCATGTGGCAGGCCGCTGGGCTCATCTTCCCCAAGCTCCACCTTACAGAAGAGGAAACTGAGGCTTGGGTGAGGTCATTACTTCTGCCCAGAAGTCAGTGGAAGGGCCCAGGGTTTCTGACCTGAGATCTACAGACGTGCCCTGGCATCCTCCAGTGACAGCACTGCTTTATGTCTTGGGAGCAAAATTCTGTTGGAATCTGCTATTTAAAGAAAAAAAGTTTGAAAGGCATGTTCCCCTTCTCTGGATGGAAAAACTGAGGCCTGGGGAAGGGAATCACTTGCCAGAGTCCTGGGGCAAGTTAGGAGCTGAACTGGACCTGGGGTCTGTCTGCGTGAGGCCCTTGGGGAGACCCCGTTTGTGCCATCTTCAGAAATATCCTGCCCAGGCTATGGGGATGAGGGTGTCGAACCCCATCCAGGAGCCAGACATGACAGCAGCATGTCCCCTTTAAGCAGAGAGCCGCCTGCTGCAGTGGGTGGACTCAGTGCCCAGCCAGTGGGAGCTGTGAGCGTCCCTCCCACAGCCCCTCCCTGGTGAGGGTGTGGGAGGGGCCGAGCAGCGTGGCTCCCAAGGGAGTCAGTGGGCAGCAGGGACAATAGCAGACATGCTGTGTGGGCTCAACCGGGAGACCCCTGGAGAGGCTGGTAAGTAATGGGGGACCTGTAGGCAGAATGGTGGGGCTGGTCCCTCGAACTGCTGCCCAAGAAAGGGACTGGAATGTCCAAGACTGGGACTGCCACTCCCCAGAGACCCAGGGCTTGGAGAGAGGGCACGGGGCGGGACACCTGGCCAGGGTGAGCAGGTGACAGGGCTGTCTGTCCTGCAGCGAGGCGCTGAGTCCCTTGGGCTGTCCAGCACGAGGACAGCAGGCAGGTCTGGAGTTCCAGAGGGCAGTGCTCAGCCCCTCAGGGGTGCCTCAGGGGTGGCATCCACCCGGCATGAGCTGGTAGGAGTGAGCTCCCTGCCCAGCGGTGTGAGGGCAAAGGTGTGGTGAGGAGGGAGCTCCTGGACCTTGCAGCAGAAGGAAGAAGCCCTGGCTGGGGTCTAGTTGGTGAGTCCTGGGGCTCTGGCATTGCCGTGGGTGAGTGTCACCCAGCTGCCACATTCCTGGGTGGGCCAGGACTGGGACTCAGGGAAGGGCTCTGAGGCAGGCACAGTTTCTCCATCTCTCTAGCCGCTGGGCTTGCCTTCTTCCCCCATAGAGCTCGCCAGGAGCCAGACCAAGTCATCCTTCACTCTGCCCTGGGGCCACCCTGTCAGTCCCTTCCTACACTGATATGCTCTTGACTTTACCGCCTTGCAGCAGCTCCAAAGAGAGGACTGTGGTCCCAATGGACAGGTGAGGAAACCGAGGCACAGACCCAGTGGTCTTCCCAAGGCCCTACAGTTACGACACAGTGACTGACTTGGGATTGGCACCCACACGAGTACAGCAGGGCTCCCCACCCTGCTTCCGAGGGCCCAGTGAGCTTAGGCTCCCACCTCCCCTCCATGGCAAGGGGCAGAGGCAGGGTTACCCCCAGACCCCCACATAATAATAACGCAAACAGTAATAGCTGACAGCTGTTGAGGTCTGATCTGGGCCAGATCCTACTTTGTTCTGAGCTCTCTCTGCATTTTCTTATTTGTCACAACACTATCTATTCTTCCCATTTTACAGTTGGGGAAACTGAAGCATAGAGGTGCTGAGTGATTTGTCCAAGGCTACACAGCCAGAAGTGGCAAAGCTGGGATTTGACCTTGTGTGGTCTGCTCTTGCCTCCTCCTGGCGACTGCACTGCTTTTCTGGCCTTGGCACCTCTCTCCTCTTGACCTAAGTAAGGCCTAGGTGAGTGGGTCACCTCATCCTGCAGTGGTCGGAGCCACAAGGACAGTGGTGCCCCAGAGACCTCACCTGGGCATTGCAAAGAAGTGTCCTCCCCCTCCTCATGGGACTCTGCCTCCACCCAGGCTCAGGCCTCCGCATCACCTGCCTGGTCCTTTGCCCAGGCTCCTCCCTGGCCTCCCTTCTCCCCATGCTGCCTTGGGAGGGAGCCTGGTAAAACTCAAATCTGATTATAGCTCCTTTTCCTGGCATTCAAGGCCTTTCATGATCTCTCTGACTTTTTCTCTCTTTTATGACTTACTTGACTCCCACTCTCACTACTGCAGCCCCCACCTACTTCCCTACCCTGGTCACAGAACCTCATGGTCACAGCTGCCTCAGCTGGTGTCAGTGCCAAGGCTCTTTTTAAGAAAAATCCGAAGAAGGAGCTTCAGGCATAGCCAGATCCAGGTGTTCATTCAACATCGTTAGGACTCTTAAGTTTCTGCTTCTCTTTAGGTGAGTTTTATTTCCAGGCAAACTCTTCTCCAGAGTTCCCCTAGTACTTCCAAGTTTAAGGTTAACTAGCCCAGTTCTCCCTAAGGAAGGACCATTTCCAATAGTTTCAGCAACCATCCCAGAGCCCGCTCTTGTCCGCCCAGCTTGAGTCACATGCCCTCTCCTGACCAATTACTGAATTTCTGATTGGCCGGGCCTGGTCATGTGTCCTCCCCCCCCCCCCCCAAAGCAGGGGGACAAGGCAGCCAACAGGTGGCTACTCCATATACCCTCCACGTTTGCAGAGAAGACTGAGGCCCTGAGAAGTCAGGCCGCTCACAGTGCTGCCAGTGCCCTTTCTCTGCCCCGAAGGACCCTTGCCTGCATGCGTCCTCTCTCAGGCCTGTGCTATGGCCATATTCAGTCTTGCTCCTGGGAGTCTTGTTTATCCCACATTAACCCTGAGCCCTTGCAGGAAAGGATATAACCAGGGCTGGGCCCACAGTAGGCATGAGCACAGACTTTGGCAGTAATTTCCCCCCTAACTCCCCCCCCAACCCTGTTCTCAGTATTCACTTTTTTCTGACTCCAGGCCACAAAGTGGTCCTTGTTCCCATGGCCTGCTCGGCCTGAGTGAGTACTTGTCGCCCAGCCAGGAAGGCTCGGGCAGTGTGTGTGTGTGTGTGCGTGTGTGTGTGTGTGCAAGCGCACAGGGAGTTCCTCTGCTGTGACCTGGGCTTCCCACTCTTCTGAGGGGACTCTCACTAAAACTACCTGGACCTTTGCACAGGCCCAGCCTCCTGCTCCACAGCATGGGCTATGGAAACCCCGGGCTGGAGACCCCGGAGGCACAGCACCCATGGCCTAGAGTCAGGGAGGCCTGGGTTTGCATCCTGGCTCTGCCTCTTGATTCTACAGCCTTGAACAACTCATTCTATCTCTTTGATTCCCATTCTCCTATAAGTGAAATTGAATTCAAAATTACTTACTGAACACTTCCTGTGGGCCAGGCTGTCTGCTGGACATAGCGGTGAACAGGCAGACAGCATCCCCGCCCCTCAGAGCTGATATTCCACTACGTTTTTTTAAAAAGTGAGGTCTGTTAGATGGTGTTGAGTGCTATGAGGAAAAATAAAGCAGGGGAGGAAGGTGATGGGAGGGATTGGGGTTGTAGGGGGTGCAGGTGTAAGTTCAAACAGACAGTCTGATTGGGGAAGACTCCCCAAGAAGGCGACGTTTCCACAAGTTCCTGAAGGAGGTGAAGGAGGCAGCTTTGTGGATGGCTGAGAAAGAACATTCTGGGCAGAGGGGATAGCTAGTGCAAAGGCCCTGGGGTGGGCATGCATCTGGTATCTAGAACAGCAAGGAGACCAGTGCACTGGAGTGGAGCTGACAAAGGGGAGACTATTAGGAGGTGAGGTCGGGAAGACTGAGGGACTGCGATGAGAATTTTGTTTTTACTCTCAATAGGGTGAATTGAATCCCTTTACAGCTCCAGACAACCACTGCTGGGAAAGAAAATGGTTCTGTGGTGACTCAGTTTTGAGGTCGTGCTCCTTGATATCGCTGGTTTCAGAGTGAGGTAGGAGAGCACAGACTCAGAAGGCAGAAGGCTGAGGCCTGACTTGAGGCTGCACCCCATCCCACGTGATGTTTGGGCTACCATAGCCCCATGGGGTGGGGGGTGTCAGCATAAGTGGGGCTCCAGGCTCAGTCCCAGGACTCACACACTTTGTGGAAAGGGGATCGCAGGGCTAGCAAGCTCTCCGGTCATGCTCATGGCTCCCGGTAGCCCTGAGGTGCCTAACCTATGGGTGCCTGATCTCTGACAGGGGCTTGGGGGGGCTCCTGGAGGCCAGCTCTGCCTTCCAAGATGCCCTGCATTTGGGGTCCACTACCCCATTGTGAGAAGGAGAGAGCAGAGCCGAGGATTAAGAACGTGGTCTGTTGAGGGGCCAAAAAGGCCCAAATTCCTGTCCTTCCTTTACAGCTCACCAGCTGAGTGACCCCCTGGGCCTCAGTCTCCTCTCTGTAAAAAGGGGAGCATCAGATAATTCCCAGGGGAGTTAGACTCTCAGGGCATGGAAAGTGCTTAGAGCAGACCTGGCACAGGGTAGGGCCCCACACCCCGTGCTCCTTCCCTATGTTCTTTTGCAATTCTCGGCACCGAGTGAATCAGGAGTCTGCTTTTTAAATTGATTGATAATTCTTCTTGTTTCCCTTAAAAACATGCACTGAACAGAATGAAGGGTCACCCTGTGCAGTGTTGATCTTTCCATGCTGCCCTCCCTCACGGGCGGCTGGCTCCCAGGGAGGCTTGTCAGCTGGGGGGTAAGGCTGACACTTCGGGCAGAACCAGTTCCCATGCATCTCCATCCAGCCGTCTGCCCTGGTCCAGCTGTGCCGGCCAGAGGGACATCATTCATGAGGAGTTCCCAACGGAGCTGGGGCTGGGCCATAGGCATTGTCCCCGAGTCTGCCCACTTCTATCATGAGGTGGCAGGAAGAGGTAGGAAGGGGCCCCCTGGCTTGGCCACGTAAGAATTTAGGAGCTGTGTGCCCCTGAGCATGTAAACTCTGTGCCACAGCTTCCTCATCTGTAACACTGGGATGATAATGGCACCTACCACATAAGGTTATCATGACCGTAAAATAGTAATAATTTTAAAGTTCTTAGAACACAGCCTCGGTTCAAATATTGGTCCTGCTCCTTATGGTGGGAAGTTACTTAACCTCTCTGTGCCTCAATTTCCCCATCTTTCGAATGGGAGTAACAATTGTCCCACCTCAGAAAGCGGTGAGAATTCAATGGGGTGATGCTTATGAAGCACAAAGCACAGTACCCAGCATTTCATCAACAGTTGTTACCATTATTAATCTAGGAAACCCTTTCAATGAGGGAGTAAAGGGGGCAAGGAGAGAAATGTCCTGTTTCATGGTTTCGAGGTACCACATCGTCTCACTGATTCCGCCCACCAACCCATTGTGCAGAGGAGAAGCCCGAGGGTCAGAGAGGACTGACTTGACCCTGAGCCCTTAGTCTGCAGCAGATTTCAAATCAGAATCTGAAGTTGGCCTAAGTCCAAAGTCCATCCTTTCTTTTCCACCGAAACAGCAGTGCCTTCAAAGGTGCCCCTCCCCCCCCAGGAGCGGCAGGCACAGACCATGCAGCAGGCTCCGAGGAGAGTCCGCAAGGGGCCACCACGTGCAATTGCGATGCTTGGACCAAGGGGCGAGTGGGGCCCTGCTCCCCATCAGCACACAGGGGTGGGCTGGCCCTGCAGGTGGCTCGCTGTCGAGCTGTCATTTCCTGTTCGTCCCAAGTTGAGCCTCTGGGCATTC